GTGGTCTCTCAGCTCGGCCGCTATCCACGACACTGGCGCAAAGCCTAGCAGGCGTGGCACTTTCTCGACACCACAGGGGGTGCGCAGGGGGTGGTCTCTCAGCTCGGCCGCTATCCACGACACTGGCGCAAAGCCTAGCAGGCGTGGCACTTTCTCGACACCACAGGGGGTGCGCAGGGGCTGGTCTCTCAGCTCGGCCGCTATCCACGACACTGGCGCAAAGCCTAGCAGTCGTGGCACTTTCTCGACACCAAAGGGGGTGGGGGTGATCTCTCAGCTCGGTCGCTATCCACGACACTGGCGCAAAGCCTAGCAGGCGTGGCACTTTCTCGACACCACAGGGGGTGCCTAGCAGGCGTGGCACTTTCTCGACACCACAGGGGGTGCGCAGGGGGTGGTCTCTCAGCTCGGCCGCTATCCACGACACTGGCGCAAAGCCTAGCAGGCGTGGCACTTTCTCGACACCACAGGGGGTGCGCAGGGGGTGGTCTCTCAGCTCGGCCGCTATCCACGACACTGGCGCAAAGCCTAGCAGGCGTGGCACTTTCTCGACACCACAGGGGGTGCGCAGGGGGTGGTCTCTCAGCTCGGCCGCTATCCACGACACTGTCGCAAAAGCAGGCGTGGCACTTTCTCGACACCACAGGGGGTGCGCAGGGGTGGTCTCTCAGCTCGGCCGCATCCACGACCGTCCACACCGGGTGCGCAGGGGGTGGTCTCTCAGCTCGGCCGCTATCCACGACGGTCGTCCAGGCAGGCGTGGCACATTCTCGACACCACAGGGGGTGCGCAGGGGGTGGTCTCTCACCGCGGCCGCTATGCACGACGGTCGTCCAGGCACAGCAGGCGTGGCACTTTCTCGACACCACAGGGGGTGCGCAGGGGGTGGTCTCTCACCGCGGCCGCTATGCACGACGGTCGTCCAGGCCTAGCAGGCGTGGCACTTTCTCGACACCACAGGGGGTGCGCACGGGGTGGTCCCTGAGCGCGGCCGCTATCTGTGACGGTCGTCCAGGGCACAGCAGGCGTGGCGTTTTCTCGACACCACAAGGGGTGAGCACGGGGTGGTTCCTGAGCGCGGCCACTATCCGTGACGGTCGTCCTTGCGGTATCGGCGGGGCAACGGCCACCAACATCATTCTCACATGCTTCACTTCAGCTATCACCACCCCAGCCATAATATAAGTATGTGGGGTTCCTCGGTAGCGTAATTGTTGTTGTCGTTGTTGTTGTCTGTCGTTGTCGTTGTCGTTGTCGTTGTCGTTGTCGTTGTTGTTGTCGTTGTCGTTGTCGTTGTCGTGTTCGTTTTCGTTGCTGTTGCTGTTGTTGTTGTTGTTGTTGTTGTTGTTGTTGTTGTTGTTGTTGTTGTTGTTGTTGTTGTTCTCTCATTCTTGAAGAATAATTATTGTTGATCCCCCCCCACCGGTGCACATTGTTTTTTTTTCGATTGAAGTGCCACCCCCGGGGCTCGCACCTTGTTTTTTCTTAAGGAAAGTCTTCCTGGTCAAACTGTGCCCCTGCCCCCCGGGCTACAACAACAACGGCTCCCGCTTGAGACTTCCTCGATTTTTACTCAAGACCCCCGCTCCCGCCTGAGACTTCCGTGCAATTTACGTGGGAACGGCGCTCCCGCCTGAGACTTCTTCGAATTTTACTCAGGACCCCCGCTCCTGCTTGACATTTCCGCGCAATTGACTCAGGAACGGCGCTCCCGCCTGAGACTTCCTCGCAATTTAGTGAGGACCCCCGCTCCCGCCTGAGACTTCCGTGCAATTTGCTCAGGAACGGCGCTCCCGCTTGAGACTTCCTCGCAACTTAGTCAGGGCCCCCGCTTCCGCCCGAGATTTCCTCACAATGTACTCAGGACTGCGCTCTCGCGTGCGACGTCCTCACAAATTATTCTGGAATTGCGTTTCGGCGCTCAGGAACCACGCACGCGCCAAGGACGCCTTCACAACGTGGTATCTTCCCTCTTCCTTCGTCCTTCCCCCTCCCCTTCCTCCCACTCTCCCTCGTTCTTCCCCTCCTCCTCTTGCAGGGCCCGCGCCAATTCCAATGGCGGGCAGAGAGATGTACGCCCCCGAAGGATTGTCCGCCCGTTCCGGTTTGCCCGTACGTCTAAGCCCGCCGGCCCCAGCAAAGAGAAATAATCCCCCCGAAAGGGGTGTGATCGAAGACGAAGAGGGCGGGTATCGAGGGTGTAGGGTATACGTGTTGAATGACTCGCGGGCAAGTAAGAGCGTACAGCCTTAAAATGGTTGTTGTTGTTGTAGATGTTGTTGTTGTTGTTGTTGTTGTTGTTGTTGTTGTTGTTGTTGTTGTTGTTGTTGTTGTTGTTGTTGTTGTTGTTGTTGTTGTTGAATTCTCATTTCTGAAGAATAATTATTGGTGGTTCCCCCTCACCAGTGCATGCTGTTTTTTCTCAATCAAAGTGTGCCCCTCGACGCTCGCACCCTGTTTTTTGTCAAGGAAAATCTTCCTGCTCAAACTGGGCCCCTGGCCCCCGGGTTACAACAACAACGGCTCCCGCTTGAGACTTCCTTGCAATTTAGCCAGGACCCCCGCTCCCGCCCGAGACTTCTTCGCATTTTATTCAGGAATCGCGCTCTCGCTTGGGACTTCCTTACAATTTATGCAGGAGTCGCTCTCCCAGCGCTCCGGAGTCGCGCTCTCGCTGGAGACTTGCTTGCAACTTACTGACGAATGGCCTTGCGTTGGAATGTCCTGCAATTTGCCCAAGCGCCTCGCTCCCGACACCCAGGCACCCAGGAGTCGCGCCCGTAGTGGCCCCATGTGCATGCCCTTCGTGGCCCCGCTGTCGCCAATTGTGTCCCCCTCACTGTCCTACGTGGCCCAGTTGCTACCTTCAGTTGCCCCATAGTTGTCTTCTGTGGCCCCGCATTATCTGCACTTCGTGGCCCCCGCTCGTTCGCGCTCTTCGTGGCCCCACACGCATTCCCTTCGTGTCCCCGCTGTCGCCCTCCGTGGCCTACTTCGTGCCCTTCGTGGCTCTGCTGTCGTTTTCTCTCGCTCTCGCTTTCGCTCGTCGTCGCCGTCGTCGTCTTCGCCGTAGTCTTCGACGTCCTCGTCGTCGTCGTCGTGGTCGTCGTCGTCGTCGTCGTGGTCGGTCCCCTGTCCGTAACTCTTGGGGTCGGGTCGACGGTCCGCGGCCGCCCCGCCGATCAGCGCTGCCGCTGGCCAGGCCGACGGTCCGCGGCCGCCCCGCCGCTTGCTGGGGCCCAGCCTTCGGGGAAGAGAGGTATACCCCCCAAAAGGGTTCGATCGAAGACGAAGAGGGCGGGTATCGAGGGTGTGGGAAATACGCGTTATTGGACACTCGAGCATGTAAGGGCGAACAGTCTTAAAATTATTATTGTTGTTGTTGTTGTTGTTGTTGTTGTTGTTGTTGTGGGGACGGGCCTGAAGCCTGGCAGTCCATCCTGGCAGACGAAGTCGTCGGCACCCGAGTCTGACTCGCCAAACTTGTCTGGCGACGCTCGGGTCGTGGCCCCCCTTCGAGCTCTCACAAGGGGGAGGTCGGCCCCCTCGAGGCCTCTGCGGGAGGAGGGAGAGACGCAAGGACGGTCAGGGCAGAAGAGCGGCGAGGGCCAGAGGCGGGACCCAGACCCGGAGGGTTCTTCCGACGAGCTTAGGCGACCCGTCCTCCTCCTCCTCCTCCAGCTCCTCCTTCTCACTCCTCCTCCTCCTCCTCCTCCTCCTCCTCCTCCTCCTCCTCCTCCTCCTCCTCCATCTTCTCCTCCCCCTCCCCCTCCTCCACCTCCTCCTCCTCCTCCTCGGGTCGCGTACGGCCCCGGGGGAAACCGTGCACCCAGACCCTGTCGCGCGGCGAACAACGTGATGACGGGAGGCTTCTCGCTTGTCTTCCTCCGCGCAGAACTAGAGTTGGATGCCAACGCTGCGGGCTACAACCAGAGCGTGCGCGTAACTGTTGCAAGCTTTTAGTGCAGATCCGCCCGGTTTTTCGCTCGGCGGCCCAAGCGCGATGCGGGACGGAAAGCTGGTCCCCAGGGGAGGGGTCCAGACCTCCCAAGGTCCAGGCCACGAGAAAGTCACGGCGGGGGCTGCGGCGGTGCGTAATGTCCAGGAGGGAAGACACGCAGACACAAATAATCGTCGATCCCCAGGACAAGTGGGAAAATCTGGGAAACATCAACTTGTGTGTCCCTGGACCCCTTCAGGATTATGCACCCAGATATCCGGTGTCTTGGTTTTTCAAGACGGGCCCCCCCAGAAGCCCCGCCTCCCTCCGCAGGGCCAGCTTTTCGTTTGGACGTGTTTCGATGGCCCTGGGGTCCTGCGAGAGCCCCCAGAGGCCGAAATTTGGATTCACTTGGGCCTCGCGTAGTGGAGGGGCGATAAGTGGAGGGGCAGCGAGGGCTGCAGAAAAGGAGCCCTTTTCGGTGCAAGGGGTCCTTTAGGGCCCCAGAATGGACCTTGAGGGCCCGAGAAGTGCACCTTTCTCCCCCCCTCTATCCATCGCCCCCAGTTGCGCGGCGCCCTGTTCACGAAGGTGCAGCGAAGTTAGACTCTCATCTCCCCCATCCTCGTTTCTCTGCGCGAGCGCGCGTATACCCGGCAGCATGTCCGCCGCCATGTGGGGGTCGAGAGCGTCCCGGGGCCCGGCGAGGGCCCTGGGAGGCCGAGAATTCGGATTCACGAAGGTGCAGCGAAGTTAGAGTGTCGCCTCCGACATCCTTGTTTCTCTGTGCGAGCGTGCGTGCGCCCTGCAGCATGTCCGCCGTCATATATTGGGGTCGAGAGCGTGCCGTTTGTCAGGAGGGTCAGGAGTGGGAGCCAACGGCGAAAAACTTCCGTCTTGGCTTCTGTCCAAGTTGTTGGTCGATCTTAGGCCACGCGCAGAGGAGGGTATGGGGTATGGGGGAGGGGGGAAGGCTTCTAAGAAGCAGCCTCCTTCTACGAAGCCTTCCCCTCTCCCCCCCACCCCCCTCTGCGCTGCGCGCCGCCAAGATATACCCGAGGCTGGTCTCCACCTTCAGCAGCCGCTTCCTGCGCGACCAGCACATGGCGCTGGCGGAGGAGAAGCCGCCGGGCAGCCGCCCGGCTCCTTTTCGGGGGTGGAGGTACGCAGACAGCTCCCATATTACAATCAGGATTGATTAGCAGGTCGACCCTGCCAAGTCAAGGGTGCTTTTGTTGTCCTGTGTTTCGTGACCCATGTCTTCTACATTCCTATGGCAGTGTGGCCCCCGAAGGGTCTTGTGTCCTCTTCGCTGTCCTCTCCACGTAACCCCGCCTGCACTATTTCGTTGTTTTCTTCGCCCCTGGAGGGTCGAGCCTTACTGCAGCAGCTAGAGCTCGACGAGAGCTCAAAAATGGCCTCGCTACTTCGCCGATCGGCCTTTGTGGGATTCGTTCACCGTCGATGTTGTAACTCGGAGGCCAGGGGCCCAGTTTGGTGACACTTCGTTTTCCCTGGTTAAAAAAACAGGGTGCGAGCACCAGGATGAGCACTTTGATTGAACAATGCATTGGTTACCACGCAGGGGGTATCAACCATAATTATATCTCAGGAATGAGAGTTCAACAACGACAGCAGTCATCTTATTTTTTTTCGCTCTTCTCTGTTGGCTTGCCATTCAACACGTATATGCCAATCCCTCGATACCCGCCCTCTTCGTCTTCGATCGCATCCCTCTGGGGGTATAGCTTTCCTAACTGCAATGTATTTCGCGCAGTCCCTAAGGCAGGGGAAGAGAGACGGATGGAAGGAATGGACAAGGGTGAGGGAGGAGAATGGAACACGAGAGAGAATAGCAGGAGTGGGGCTAGGAGCAGAAAACACGTGGCAGAGCCTAACGAGCAGATCGGGAGGGTGAACCCTAACGGGCGGGTCGGGAGGAGGCGGGTTGCTGAAACGTGCGTCCTGCATGGATGGCGAGGACATCTCGAGCGATAGCGCGGTTCCCAAACAAGTCGCTTAGCAAGGTCACAGCGAGAGCGTGATTCCTGAGTGTCGAGGGCGCGGCGTCTGAGTACATTGCGGAGAAGTCCCACGCGAGAGAGCGATTCTTGTATGACTTGTGACGAAGTCCCGCGTGAGAGCGCGATTTTGGAACACATTGTGAGGAAGTATCAGGCGGGAGTCGTTGTCGTTATAAACTGGGGACCAGGGACATAATTTGGTGACCCCTCATTTTCCTTTTGTGAGTTTCAGGATACGAGCCCTGGGAGAAGCACTTTCATGGGACACATACAATTGTTACCAGAGGGATGTCAACAACAGTTATTCTTTAGAAATGAGAGCTCAACAACAACACGCCTACATACATACGTACATACATCTACATTTACATATACACCTGCATCTACATATACCGTATACATACACAAACACGTCTGGTATACATATAAATATACACGTACATGTACATACTATGGATCTTCATATTCATAAACATGTACACGTACACGTGCATATATATACATATATATATGCATGCACGCATGCATATACATATCATTATACATACGTGTATACTTCTACACCAACGTATACGCATACACAGACTTATACATATACGTATACACATACACATACGCACATGCATGCACATGTACTCATATTTGTATATACATATACATTTACATTTGCATAGTCATCGGCATCCATATAATCATGCTTGTACATATACACATACATCTAAATGCATGCACTCTGTTACATTTACAATTGCACAAACATGTATACATTCACATAAACATGTCCATATCCATGTGCCCATGCATGTACGTATACATATACATACATACATGTACACGTGCATATAAACTTACACACGTATATGTATATATATATATATTCATACACATACGCGCATACATACATACGCAACAAGAGCCACGCCTACAATGACAACGACAGCAACACCAACACACACCACCACAACAACAACACTACACCACAGCAACACAACAACAATAACAATACCAACAGCACCAATCACAACAACAACAACACCACCACCACCACCACCAAGAACACCACCACCAACAACAAAATTTACAACTACAACAGTCATCTGTTGCGAAAGCTCAATGATTCAATCAAGTGCACCTTTCTCCCCCCCATTAAGCGACTCCCAAGCCTCGTGGCGGTACGGGCCGCCCGAGGCCGAAAGCAGCCCAAGACCTCCCGTCGTGATCTGTTCACTACGTCAGGGGGTCTGGGCTGCCTGGCAGGGTCAATTTTCCTCCGATCGATCTGGCTCGGCGTCAACTATGGCCAGCCAGATCCGAAGCGGTTCCGATCTTCCGACGATCTAGCGTGGCCCGATGCATACATGGTTATATTATTGATACTCTCGCGGCCGATCCGATCCGATCCCGATTCCGTGCCGGTGCAGCCCAGGTGGACGCACGAGCCGATTCGACCCGCTTTCCCGATTCGATGCTGAGCGATCGGGCCCTGCCCGCCCCCCCCCCCCCAAGGCTCACGTGAAGACCGCCTTCTCGCCGGGCGACCTGGGGGCGCTGCGGGCCCAGGCCGCGCAGGTGCTCCACGGCGGCCTGTCGCTGGGCGGCTCCGGGGACCGCGCTCGCGCGCTGCTGGAGGCGCTGCGCGGCGGGGGCTGGCCAGAATGGGCGGAGGGGCCCAAGGGGCGTGCGGGAGCGCCGCCGAAAAGTGCTGCTTTCTCTCCCTGTCTCTCCCTCTCTATCCCCCACTGCCGACGATGCCAATCTGTGCCCACCTGGGCCTTTTTCTTAGACCTCTGGCCACGGGGGTCCGTCACCGGGCCCCAGGACCCTCAAGGATGGCTCCGGGGCGAAAAACTGGATCCGGGGAAGGGGTCGAGACCTCTGGGGAGAGCATGCGTGCTGCTACGCATGACATGGAGGCTATGACGCCTCTTTGGATTCTGAGCAGGCTATGATGCCCACGTTACGAGACAATCCCGTCGTCGGGGCTCTCTCTCTCGTCCGGCTCTGCACGCCGCCAGCCCGAGTGGTTGTTCCCGGCGGCGTGGCGGCGGCAGCGGCAATGCTGAGACGCGCCCAGAGTTCACAGCAGGGCATGCGGGTACAGACCCGACCTGCCTGGCTGCTGCTCTTGGAGGTGGGGAGCCCTGTGCTCGGGGGAGGGCGCAGCTCCGTTCAGCGATGTGCTGTTGACCGAGTCTGCAGGGCGAGCCCCTTCCTTGTCTGTGCACTTTCCGTTTGAATTGGGCTTCAGTTGTGATGCCTTTCTGGGCGCCTTCGGGCCAGGGCCGAGTCGATTTTCTGGTCGCGCTTGCGCCTCCTTGACTTGCGTGTGTGTCTTCCGTCGCTCCCCCCGTCATCCACGCCTGGACTGCTTGTGGCTGAAGCCGCTGCGGGACCCTAAGCGGTCTCTGAGGGCTCAGGCGTTCTTAGTCGCGCACGCGCGTTCTCTGCTGTACGACCTTCTCCGCCCTTTCGTCGCGCGCAGGGCCACGACGCCAACAAGTGTGTGTGTGTGTTTTTGCCCCGTGCACCGCGGCTTAATTCGCAATTGTATGCCCTACATTTGCCCCATCTGCCAGCGCAGTCACTCTGCCTAGCCGCTGACGTAAAAAGTGTTTTTTTTTTCACTGCCTTAGACACTGCCCGATCGCAATTGGCCCTTCCATCTGCCGTCTGCGCCTGAGGATCCTCTGCGCCGCCGACTTAATATGTGTGTGTGTGTGTGTGTGAATGTGTTTGTGTTTGTGTGTGTGTGTATGTGTGTGTGTGTGTGTCTGCGTGTGCGAGTGCGTGCGTGCGTGCGTGCGTGCGTGCGTGCGTGCGTGTGTGTGTGTGTGTGTATGTGTGCGTGTGCGTGTGTCCATCCGCCGGAGCAGTCGCCCTCTGCCCAGCCGCCGACGCAAAACAAGTGTGTGTGTGTGTGTGTGTGTGTGTGTGTGTGTGTGTGTGTGTGTCTGTCTGTCTGTCTGTCTGCCTGCCTGCCTGCCTGCCTGCCTGCCTGCCTGCCTGCCTGCCTGCCTGCCTGCCTGCCTGCCTGCCTGCCTGCCTGCCTGTCTGTCTGTCTGTCTGTCTGTCTGTCTGTCTGTCTGTCTGTCTGTCTGTCTGTCTGTCTGTCTGTCTGTCTGTCTGTCTGTCTGTCTGTCTGTCTGTCTCTCTCTCTCTCTCTCTTGCCTCTGCGGGGAGAGGCGGGGGGGGAGCGGGGGGGCAAGGGGCAGGCAGAGATGGGGTGTTTTGAGGGTACAATCTCAAGAATCAAGACGCTGAGATAAAGACCGCCTTAGCTTTGGAAGGGCTTTGGTTTTCGAGCCGATCCTTAAACCTAGGTCGGGCAACGTATTCGTGGCCAAGGCTCGCCGTTGGCGTTCCTTATTTCGCGTTCCTTGTAGTAGTGTGATGACTGTACGGGGGATGGGCGGAGGGTCCAGGGGGCCTTCTCCCCTCCCTGCAAGGAGGTGGCCGTGAGTCAGTCTTGTTCTGGGTGGAGCCTCCTTTGGGCTTGTCTGCGGGTGTCGCAGGTTTGGTGGGGTTTGGTCGTGTTTCTCTCGGATATCCCAAATGGAAATCTCGCCGTGGGCCAAGGCTCGCCGTTGGCGTTCCTTATTTCGCGTTCCTTGTGGTAGTGTGATGACTGTACGGGGGATGGGCGGAGGGTCCAGGGGGCCTTCTCCCCTCCCTGCAAGGAGGTGGCCGTGAGTCAGTCTTGTTCTGGGTGGAGCCTCCTTTGGGCTTGTCTGCGGGTGTCGCAGGTTTGGTGGGGTTTGGTCGTGTTTCTCTCGGATATCCCAAATGGAAATCTCGCCGTGGGCCAAGGCTCGCCGTTGGCGTTCCTTATTTCGCGTTCCTTGTGGTAGTGTGATGACTGTACGGGGGATGGGCGGAGGGTCCAGGGGGCCTTCTCCCCTCCCTGCAAGGAGGTGGCCGTGAGTCAGTCTTGTTCTGGGTGGAGCCTCCTTTGGGCTTGTCTGCGGGTGTCGCAGGTTTGGTGGGGTTTGGTCGTGTTTCTCTCGGATATCCCAAATGGAAATCTCGCCGTGGGCCAAGGCTCGCCGTTGGCGTGCCTTATTTTCGCGTACCTGTGGAGTGAGTGATGACGTACGGGGATGGCGAGGGTCCAGGGGCCTTCTCCCCTCCCTGCAAGGAGGTGGCCGTGAGTCAGTCTTGTCTGGGTGAGGTTTGGAGCCTCCTTTGGGCTTGTCTGCGGGTGTCGCAGGTTTGGTGGGGTTTGGTCGTGTTTCTCTCGGATATCCCAAATGGAAATCTCGCCGTGGGCCAAGGCTCGCCGTTGGCGTTCCTTATTTCGCGTTCCTTGTGGTAGTGTGATGACTGTACGGGGGATGGGCGGAGGGTCCAGGGGGCCTTCTCCCCTCCCTGCAAGGAGGTGGCCGAGATTGAGACGAGCCCGCTGTGGGGTGATCATGTAGGAGAGGAGGGGGACGACGACGACAAGACGAGGAGGGGAGGAGGAGGAGGAGGAGGAGGAGGAGGAGGAGGAGGAGGAGGAGGAGGAGGAGGAGGAGGAGGAGTAGGTGGAGGAGGAGTATGTGGAGGACCGCTGGCTTTGTGTGCCTCCCTCGCAGGAGTTTTTGGATCAACGCAGGTTGCTTGTTACGCTTTTCGTGGTCTCCCCCCCCGCAGCGATGCCAGCGATGAAGGGTGCCACGATGACCTCGGCCGCTGTGGCCTTCGGACCTCGGGGGGGTCCGTGCTCTCTTGGTGCTTTGTTGGCTGTGGTAGATTGCGCTCCTTCATTTGACGAGTCAGCCGTGTTGCCCTTCTCATCTATGCGTGGCTGCAGAGGATGACCAGTCCTTGTCGACAACGCCTACGGCGAGCCACCGCCGTCCCCTGCCTTTGGGAGACGACTGTGTCGTGAAATGTCGAGCGAACGTGCGCATCTTCGCCAGTGGGCTGCGTGTCCCCCCAGCTGCTTGGGAGCCCTCTTCGGCCATCTCGAGGCTCCCTGGGGCTGTCTCGGGGCGCTCCTGGGCCGTCTGGCGCCTTCGGAGGCCGTCTTTGGGGTCAGTCTCTGGGCCGCCCTGGGGTCCTCTTGGGCCGTCGCGGGGTCTTATTGAGGGCTTGGAGGCCTATGAGGTCCGTTTTGGGTCCAGAAACATGTGGAACAACCTTTCGGTTAGTTTTTGAAGCAGGATTCTGGCCTCTTGGGCCGACCCCGAGGGCCCCTAGGACGACCGAAGGGACCCCCGCCCGCCCCACAGAGCCTCGTGGATCCTTTCTGGGCCCTCATGGGGCCATCTTGTGGTGGCGCCAACATCGCAGAGCGCATTTCGCTCGGAAAACAATGGGCTGGGCCCGGACTGTCCTGGAGAATGTCGTTCCCGATTTCGAAGTGGATTTCGTGCGGAGGTTTTGGCCAGGAATGAAGACTACAAAACATCCACGTGCAATTCACTTCGGTTTTCGCTCGCCGTTTCGGGGTTTTGCGTTGACGGAACTCCACGCGAAAATCCGCTGCAGCACGTCTGGTCTCCTGGGTGGCGTCCTGTATGCCATCTCGGACAGCCTCGGGCCGTCTTGGGCCATCTTGGAGGCCGTGCCAGGTCGGGCAGGCGCGGCTTCCAAGCGGGCGGCGCGAGCCGTCAAGCAAGAAGCTGGGGGCAACGGGCGGGCTGGGCGCAGGAGCATCGACCGTGCCAAAGAGAGCACGGGACGGAAGTTACCAAAGTTGATGAGATACTGTTTTGCTTCGGTTTGTTTTGCCATCTCGGCCGTCTTGTTCGAGGGCTTTGCGCACTTTCTGCGTCTTTCCGCGGGGGCGACAGGACGGGCCCGAAGGCCCTGTGTGAGCCCCTCGGAGGGGCCAACGAGTGCCAAACAGCTGGCACGTCAAGCACCCATTGTTAGTTGAACGTAGGTATGTTTGGATTTCCAGATTCCTATAAACTTATTGGCGCTTTCTTATTTCAAGGGTCGAATGGTTTTCCCTTTCCATTCCGCTTCAGCGAGCGGGTGGGAACTCAATCTAGTTTGAACGCCTCCCTACTTGCTCTTCTTCGAGGGATGGCTTGCACCAGCGCGGCGGTGGCGCGCTTTTTGGGCCCCCTGTTGGGGGCGGTCTTGGCGGCCTCTCGGGCCGTCGGGGACGCTCTTAAAAACGAAACGCCGAGCATGCCATAAACCCATCCGATCACGTGCTTTTTGCGATGATGCCTGCTACTTGGGCCCATGGGACCATCCCACAGGCGGTACACCAGATACGCAGTTGTCCTGCCAGCGGGTGCCCCGCGATGCTTTCTTGTCGCCCGATGGCGCCGCAGAGCGCTGGGGCACCCTGCGAAGCCCACAGCTGAGGAAGGATGTGCCCCCCAGAGTTCTCACGGCCAGGTTTCTGGTCGTCTGTGCCTCCTGCACGGCATGACGGGAGATGCGAGCTCCTGAGAGCACTTCCAGGTCCTCGGGAGAGGCGGCGCGGTGAACTGCAGGAGCGCCCGAGAGCGCCAGGGCCAGCCTGGAAATCTGAGTTCCATGCAGAATGGTGAGGCCTCGGGTTGCGTCCAGGCAGCCCCAAGGGAAGTCCCAGCTGGCCTCGACAGGCCCCCCGAGCAGTCCGGAGCGGTCTCAACACCCTGGCGCCGCTTCGGGCGATGTCCATGCGGCGCTCCGCGCCAGAGGGTTGAGGTGTTGAGATCGCCCCAGACTACTCGGGGGGCCTGCTGAGGCCAGCGGGGACTACCCATGGAGCTGTCCGTGCCAACCCGAGGCCTCACCGGCAGAGAATTCGAAGGGACCTGACGACACTCCCTTCACTCGCTCACTCGCTCACTCACTCGCTCGCTCACTCACGTACAAAGGCCATGTCGCACGACACATCGGCTCAGCAGGGGAAAATGCTCGCTGCGCAGAAAGTGCGGCAGTCAGATATTACACCTGAGTATCTGTAGGGTCAATGGGAAGACCATCTTGCTTGATAGTGGCTTTCCAGCTTGGCTGTCCCTGCAGTGCGAAACGAGGCTGCCCGAATAATGCGTTCAAAGCATCATCAGGAGGGAGGGAAGGAGGGGGGAGAGGAGACGGGAGGGGCGGGAGGGGGCGAGGACAGGAGGCCAGTGTCTGGCGGCATGCGGATAATTTGCCAGGCGAGGTCGTTTCCACTCCATGTGTCGAGATAGGTGCGGCCCGATCAGTGGCCTGACGGCAGTGGAGAATCTCATAGCCGCACGAAAATCTTCAGGGCCATTCGCAAGCGGAGCTGGGCTTGACGAGGACGACGAGGACGAGGAAGAGAAGGGAGACACGTGCGCGCCGCCGCCGTGACAGCGCGATTATGGCATGTCGAGCCGTCCTCCATCAGCACGTCTTCTGGATGATATTCATATCCAGATGTTTTAGATGCATGAAAGCCTTGAGAGCTGCCATGAGTGATA